TTCCTCTCCCCAGCAAAAATCACTTAGGCTGCATCGTCCTTATTATCCTTACTATCATCTTTCGGTGCATGTCCATCTACAAATTCATTAACTTTTTTGAGACAAATCATTGGCACCCTAATCTTCGGATTCCCATGAAAGACTCACTTGCGCGATACAATTGCAGCTGCCCCACGCTGCCAGTTACTGTATCATACACGTCTTAAAATTCTGTAATCAGCATCCACCAGGTGCCGTATCGCATTCAGCACACCACAGTCAGTCAATACAGACATCCCCAAACACACCAAGGCTGGTTTTGTCAAATGTTTTATTGAGTGTAGACATCTGGAGTACTGTAAAACATGCATTATCTGTAGATTCAAAAAGGAGCAAGCCACATTGTCCTCACTGTCAAACGTGTCAGGCTTGGCATACATGATGGAGATTAATGAAGTATCATGAGAGTAATATGGTTCCTGAAAAAGCTTCTACAATTTGGAGTAGGGTCTTAATCGTTGGAAATGCAAAGCTGTTCACATTTAGTGAACTTGCATGTTCGCTGGAGGTGCCATATTTTAATTCAAAACAAACAGGAATAATTTCACGGGGGGGAGGGGAGGTTCCCTAGGTAGAAACTGTAGGCTTTTTGTTTCCAGATATTCCATCCTAAATAAAAATTCATATGCTTTTTGAAGCAGCACAGTTTATTTCTGAGCCATGAACAACATCTGATATTCATTTCTTCTTGGGTTGTTGAGGTGTATTAAATTTAAAGAAGATAATATCTCCATCCTCCACTATGTAATTTCTGCCTTGTTGTCTGTATTTTCCAGCAGCCTGTAAATAGAACAGACAAAAGGAAAATGGGTTATTTCATTAGACATTTTACAGTATTTTCAGACTGTAATTATTTAAATACATTTTGGTAAAGAAGTGGCACTGCTTCAGAGTTTGACAGCCACAATACTCCTCGGTTTGACATAATTTCGGTTTACATACATATAAAATACACGCAGAACCAATCTAACCTCCACTCAATCAGTGGTGCTTAAATGCCATCTGCCTTCCATAGCAGTACATCCGTAAATCCTGGCAGTCTTAAAATAAAGGACACTAAAACAACTCTCTTTTTTTTTCTCCACAGCTTCCAGGGTTTCTTTTCCTCCACCTAAAAACCCTGCAGATGGCAAACACTGGTGGCAGGGACCTGAAACGGTGTTGCTGGAAAGGGCGACCAGCAACAGTTTGCATCACGGCTATTAACTGGTGCACGAACCACTTCGGAGCGGCTCCAGCAAGGATGGGAGCGCTCCGCAACAGCCAGAACGGCACACGCCCGGCACGGCGAGCGGGGCTCTCTTGTCTGCCCGTGCCCAGATAACGAAGGGCTGAGGAGCACAAAATGCAGGCGCGGTTTTTCTGTCAGAAATTTCCTTTAGAAGAAATTTGCTTCAGAAGGAGAGATATAAGAGCAGATCGGCTGGGAAAGCAGTTTGCAGGGGACGGCACGCGGACCAAAGACATGAAAAGGAAGTTCGTTATGAAAACGCTGTACTTGAGGAGAGCAGGAAATAGGCATGGAATCTATTAAATGCCAGTACTCTCTGCATTACAGTTTATTTCAATATTGTTCTATCTTTACCTCGTCGTAATTAAACCTGCATTGTAAAGGACACAGGGAAGCTGTGGCGCTAGGACTGACAGACTGGGCGGGAGGTGGTCTGCAGAAGCATTTATCTTGAAAAGTGATCTACAATATGGAAAAGTTGAGAGCTTCTGCTTTAGTTCAATAACCTGTTCCTGTTTTGAAGTTTCCTCTTGCAGGAGAAAGTGCTTCCATGCAAGACCTCACTGTGCCATTATTCTCAATGACACTATCACAGTGGTGGCATGCTAAGATCCCATTACAGGAAAGCTGTTAACTAATGACCTTAGTTGCAGCAGAAGAGATCAGATTAATGGTACATAGTTAACTTACACACCTTTCTTTCACAAAACCCGCTCTGTAAAGCAACGTACTTCCCCATATCGCTGTCTAGGAATTTAGAGGCTCGATAAGCTTGTTGCTGTCGCTCCTTATTTAAACGTTGTCGCCGGTGATGGTAGCCTACCGAGAAGGTAGCCTCCACAACAAACACGTAGCGCAGCAGCCACTGACCTTATCCCACGTGACGTTATTGATAAGTAGTAAATAGTACGTTGCAAGTGTTTTCCTATTTCCCCCCTCGCCCGGAAATCTGTTTTGACTATAAAAGGTTTACTTTCAAGTAGACTTGGTAGCTCTTTCCTTTGAAGATCCTAATAATGCTCAAAGTCAAGAGTAATTAGACTAATTGATGGCATAAACACTAATAAAGCAGTGCTGTAAAAATCATCAGCAAGCGTAAGCTGCAGGCACAGGTACGGAGTCATTTTACAGTTGAATACGTTTATTTCTCACAAATATTTGTAGAAAAAAATTACCTCCCTGAAGTAACAATGCGGCTTTTTTTTAGCACACTATTGAAAGCTGTCAAAGTGGCAAAGACTTCTTTAATTAAATACATTTTGACACCCTAATGCAAGTTTATGTATTTTTGTTACCAGTTTACAGTTAATTAAAAGTGACAGTGTTCCTTTAAATTCTCTAGAGACCATTTAATCCATTTCCATTGCTATCAGAAACACTGGTTGAAAAAATCAATACCCATTTGTGAATCTTGAGTATGTATTAAACAAGACACGTCTAACCAGTTCATTTGCACTTGAAAGCAGCCATCTGTAGAAGCCAGCTTTGCCTAAGCAGATATGATTGCTAATAATGTGATATCCCTGTAGACTACAAAGCCCACACAGAGCTATTCAGTGTCTAGTTCACAGCACTGGCATTAAATTAGTTATGCTGTACTGGTGTTAGACACACACAAAATCAAACTTAAAAATCGATCAACTTGATAACGTACAAAGCAAGCAACTCCCATTACCACTGTTATTTCAGCTGACTTCTAAAAGCTCCCAAATTTAATTTTGAAATTTACCAGCAATATAAAAGTAATTAGCATTGTGTACGGCGTGAAACGCTGTATTAAATGCAAATTAGAAAAGACGAGTAATATAACACATTTTTCTAAGAGCAAAGGGCTTTTTTTCTAACCTTGGTATAAAAACAGAGTAACGAACGCAAACATGCTTGCTTTGCAGACTCTTCAACAAATTTTAATCATTAACTATAATTTCAACACGGAAGCTCAATGTTTAGTGTCTCACATTGTGCAAAGCAAATAAAAATATACAAGCAAAGGACTTCTAGGTTAATGTACCAGCTGTTAACCGACGCACCTTCGCAGGGAAAACACTCAGCTCTGAGCATCAAAAACTTGCTGGCAAAATTTGAACCTTGGTTACATAAAGAGGTTTCCGACTGCAGAATATCAGATTTATTTATAGCTGTGGTTTCACTTTACAACTACAACTCTACTTCCCTTTTCATAAGGCAGTTCACATGCCGCAATGAACCAATTATACTGGGATTTTTTTCCCCCCTCACTTCCTGGGGTTCAAACAAACCTATTAAAGTCCCGCTGCTCAGTATGATCTTCCTTAGTGATACCACTGAGAATAAGCTGAATCTGAAATCAGAGTTTTGCATACCTTTCAAGCTATCAAACAGCAAACAATGAAGCTGAACCTTTTAAATTCTTTAACATGTTATAGTGTGTAGGAACCTTCAAATACCAAGATTGATTAAATCAAACCGATGTGCTTTGTAACTGCAATTTTATAGAACACAAACCTTATTAAAACATCAAAAATGCCAAATGAGAAATCAAACGGGTATGAAATAATGGGAAGTTTCCCTGCTTAAAGGTGGAAACAATGCAACAGCAACACAGAGAAGGACAGCTTTTCTTATGACATTCATTTGCCATGTACATATTCATTTCATATTTAATAACTTCAGATCAGACCTAATTTGTCAGCTGTAAGAAGGGCACAACTTGGGCACCCAATCAGTCTCTGCCCTCTAGTGTTGAGAAAGCAGATACAACTCTTTCTAATACAAGTGTCACTACAAAGAAGCATGAGCTCAAGAAAAGTTTTTCGTTAGCCATCGTCGCTGTCTGCTCAGCAGACGGTCGCTAGGAAATTTCACCTACTGTAACATGTTTACATGGACTACACACAAGTATTACGGGCACACCGAACAATCAGAACAACACAGCATTTCTGAGTGAGACACCACTGGGCAATTGAATTAAATACTGAAACGGTAAATTTTAAGATTCTTATTATGCCTGTCAGAGTCTGGGAGTGGAATACACCAATCCTGAGGAAAAAAGGTACATTTTTATAATACAGTGTCTTCTTAACCATTTACATCTGACATTTGCAATACCCTCACTGTAAATTCAAAACAAGGTGACACATTATTAGAAGAAATAGATTTTCTTTGTTTCTTGCCTTTCCTTTTAGAGGCAATTCAAAAATCTGTCTCATCTTAAACATGATTTTTCAAAAACAAGTTCACTTTAAAGCTTATTAAATTACGAACACTAACATGTAAACCAAGAAAAAAAAAAAACAAACAACAGCATAGCATTTGGTCTTAGTGTTGACATGCAGTCCATGAACTGTCCTATCTCGGATACTGTAACGGCTGCATTCCTGTTCAGTAAGTTGGTGCATTTGAATTCTTTCCTAAGGAAAAGGTGAAAATAGAGGTTGGTCTATTGCTAGAGGTGACTGTTAAGAGTCACTCAGCACCCAGAACTCCTTCCCAGTGAAAAAACAGACTCGAAATGGAAAAAAGGCACATATGGAGGAAGGGAGAAGAAAAAGATGGGGAGCTCACCTTGACAGCAGCTTCTGAACCTCCTTCTTTAAAATCTTCGTATTTCATTACTTCAGCCATAATGAATCCCTTTTCAAAATCTGTGTGAATCTTCCCTGCTGCCTGAGGAGCCTTCGTCCCTTTCTGTCAAAGGAAAGGCCGGAAGAAAATTAATTGCATATAAGAAGATTGATTGCAGGAAAGAGGTTTCTCCTTTCTGACATGCTTTCGGGATCTGTTAAACTTTGTTTCGTATCAGTTAAAATGTCATGCATGCAGCTGGGTAATTCTCAGTGCTGGAACATACAGACAGATGCCTTTGCCACAGATAAACCAAGTGATATTAAAGAAGGGCACTTTGTTTTTCCTAATAGGTATCAACAGTAGTATTGATTTTAGAAGCTATGATTGTATTTTGTTGTGGGATGCACTTCGATCCCCAGCTCTCCACATAGAAAGCGAGGAAAATAAAGATTTTTTAAATAACTTTAAAATCTGAATTACTCAAGACTTTCACCTGCGTCCAAATAATTGCAATTAAACAATAACATTCACTGGTGAACCGCATGTGTAATCAAAAATGATTTATGGATCTCAAGACCGACATATTAGCTTATTTTTATTTCAGAATAATTTTTGTAATTCTAATACAGAACAAAATTCTTACCAAAATGTCAACAACTGAATCATTAAACATCACCACAGGCAACTACTGTAAGATGATTTAAGTTGATGCAATAGGGGAGAATGCATTATAACTGCAAGCTTTCAATTACAAGGACATACATTCTGTGCACATACAACCATGGAGAGAAATTTGAGAAATAATGGTGACCTAAAGGCTGCTTAATAAAGCATGTTAAAGTGCTAAGGAGTCTGACACTGTAAAGCACAGTTTTTACAATAAAAGATGTATTGGGTTAATATGGCTACTCACTGATGCTTACCTGACTAAATATCTTTGCACATTAAATCAAAGATACTTACAATCAGTCTTAAGATGAACCAGCTTTCAAATTTTCTAATAAAGAGCAAGCATTTCTACATCTGAAAACAGGGGAGTTTCAGAATGTGCTTTTAAAAACTGTAGCAAAAATCAGAACAACAGAACTTCTGCCTTTATATTTTTTTGGTAGCTATTTCAAGGACTTTAGCTAGCAGTTATCATTTAAGAGATGACATGATGAAGAGACTGAAAAAATAAATGTGCCTTTAGGAAATTAAGCTTAATGTGCTAAAACAGATACACAAACATCTGTAGCAGTATTAATAAAAATATACATTTACTGGAAATTATGTTGATTAATGAAAACGAATTAATCCCATTGAATGAAATTGAATACAGCACTGAAATTCACAGCACTGCACTAAATACACTGATGCAACAAATAAAAGCCCAGTGACAGGTCTGCACCTCCAAAAGTTGACATTTTTGTCATTTTTAAGATAGAGTTTATGACTGTATGCATTTCAAAATATTTCGCAATACTCATATCTACATTATAACATCTTCCCATTCAAAGGCAAACCACTACAGCCCAGCTCTCACTGTCCTCTGGGAATAAATTAGTCTACCTCTACGGCTATAATCATTCTACGTCAATATTTAAAATTCATAATATAATTTTAGGCACTACATAAGTTCCCGGATAAACATGTAAAACTACCAAAATAAACTAGGTCTAAATATTCAAGTCAGTGAGAGACCTGAATTACTGCACACTGATTTTAGTTTCTGAGCCCAACTGTGTATCCATGAGGAATATAATGATGTTATATTGCTTTTATTGCTGAAAATGTAATCCGAGCAAAGCAAAGGAGGAATGAACCACCCGCAACCCAAACAAACTTAGCGAATACAAAATGAAAAGCAACATCAATTTCACTGCAGACAAACCCAGTCACACAGATTAAGCAAGCACAATACTGGTACGTCTTATCTCTGACCACAGGAGGAGGGTAGACAGATTCTACAGGATGAAGAAATTCAGACTATGTAATAGGCAGAATCAATTGTTACCTGCCTCAATCAATGCAGCTCCACTTTCACTGTTCAGCAGCTCACAAATAATTAAAGTTATCCTGGACAAAAACCTCATCTGTAATGACTAGCTAACCGCCACCATGACAAACTTCAAAGTCAGTGATATCAATCTGAATTCAATAGTGTGGAACTGGATATAGCTGATGAATAAGTATGAATCTTACCCTGATGGTCCATGCACGCACTTCATCTGGGCCTGCAGTGAAAAAGTATTCTAGTTGGAGTGCTGCATATCCAGCCTTAATGATCTTTGCTAAAGCGCTGAAAAAAAAAAAATTAATCCAATTCATTCAACATATACACATAAACCAGCTAAATGCCCCAAGTAATCAATTCACATGGAAAGACACGACGTATTTTGAAGACACCAGGTCTACTTTTAAACACAGCAGTAAATCACAGTAACCTCTTTCTTTGAACTCTCTTCAGACTACTTTTTTACTGCAGCATCACAAAGACAGTATTTTGATCTGTTTATTCGGCAGGATACAGAAATGTGGGATAAATTTAAATCACCCTATCAGGCAGCATGTTTGGTCTCATGCAATTTTCAGGACTCCAAATCATGAAAGCAGAACTCTTTGACTGAAATTCAATATTGAAACAATTTATTATAGATCTTCAGAAAAATTAAAGCAAAATTTTCTCCACGGTCCCCATGGATGACGAAACAGTTTTGGTTATCGTTCCTTCTCAAAAATATACATAACTAATACCTATGTTATAATTAAAACACTGTACAGAGATGACAGATGACAGTTAAAAACTTAATTTAAAATAAATCTTTTCACTCTGTCTCATGGTAAAGAAAGGAGAAGATTCTCTCTTTATAATGGTAATTACTCTGTCATTTATTATTCTATCAGCGCAAGCAATTAAATTACTGCAAGGAAATAGTTGATAATAAGCTAATTAACCTTTGTGTCATGTTCTCTTCCAGATACTTCTGTTTCTCCTCAGCACTCATATCTTGCAACTTGAGTTCCAAGGCCCCACTAAAAGGAATGACCAAAGCACCCGGGTCGTGCTTGTCCACCCACTCTTTAATTTTTATCAACCTGTAGACAACAAAGGGCACAACATTATCTTGTAGTGCATGCATGGCTGTACCACATTCATTATTATCAAGTAGCACATACATATTCATAAGAATTGCACGGTTTTATGATGCCATCTTTTTGTGTATTGCTTTCCAAGGTCAAGGCATTAACAGGCTGCAATTGCTTCAGGTGTACTCCATTAACATTTCACTGTTTCTTGGCTTCTGTTTGGCATTTAAACTATCAGGAACAGGCATAATTTCAGACAATAACTAGGGTTTTTGGTAGAGGTTAAATACTTGCAATCTAAAATGCTAACTGAATAAAACTTTCTAGATCTCTGGATGTATATTTTTCTGAGAGTTCCAAGAGTAATATCTCTTAGATGCAGCAAAACTGGGGCTCTTCAGTTCTCTGCCTTTTTTTTTTTTTTTTTAAAGGACCTCAGTGGCTTGGGCAGCTGATACTGGCAGACAGATAAGAACACTACACTCCATAAATTCCTAGATGGCAAGCAGCACCCTGCTTTTTCTGGCTACTGATCTTGGAGTATGCCATAGATAATGAATACAGGGCAGTCTTTCTACTAGTTTCTCCCACTTTTCTACTGTCTCCCCAGGAAAAAGGTTCTAGATACTATGCTACTATTATTTTTTAATAAAGAATCAAATTTCCTATTCTCCTCTTCTTCAGTAACTGGCAGCACCAGTAATAGTTTGCCGTTCATCTAGCGTATTTTTTTTTTTCCAGCTGAACGAAACTACAAATTTAGAGCTACAGATTTATGGTGCTGGTTTCCAAATGTTCAATATCCTATTAAAAATTAAGAAAGTTTTTGCAGCTACAGCTGACGTTCAAGCAATCTTTAAACTCGGGCATCGCATTCATGACTCCGTTTATTTTAAATTTAAGGGAGGCCTTCCTAAATCACCTGTAAGGAGTTCAATGTTATTTACACGAGGTGTAGATTTCTGAACAGGTGTGAATGGTGAGAATGTCAACTCTGCTCAGCAAGAAGACACAAGAAGCAATACTTCCTGTGCACTAAGACACAGGGTACAAAATACAGCACTTCGGGTGCCATCCCTGTTTCAGACCTGAAGCACCCATCATACAGCACAGAGTTTTATGGAGCTCTTTTTCGTAGTCCTGTTAATCTCCAAGATTTAGACTAAGGTTTTAACTGCTATTATACTAAAGTGCTTTGAAAGTGTGGCCTGCAAACCTTTAAATAATCAATGCAAATGTCACTTGAGAAAAAAAATGAACTGAACCACAAGTTCATCAACACACATTTGTCAAAGAAAATAGCAGGGGATCAGAGCTATTATGAGATTAAGTGCATGGCCCACTGAATAGGGTTTTAGATGGGACAAAGAATATAAAAGTTCACTCAACAGTTTTCACACGTTTGTTATATAAGGCTGGTCTTCTATCATTTACTTATGTAAATACCCCATCAGTGGTTTTCAATCCTCATTATACTAATCTTTTTTTCCTCCGGTTACCCAGTGAAAATATAGTCTGGTATCCAGGACTGATACTGAAACACTACTGCCTTTAGAAATGTCTGAAGTGAAAAATCACAATTAAGGTGCATTTCTGAATGTGACATGTAACAGCATTTCTAAAACTGACATTTGTAGTTAACTAATCTATTTTGGCTAACAAACTGGGTATCAAAGTTCCGAGCTTGTAAGTGCCAACCTTTTACAGAAAACATATCTAGAAGTGGGTCTGCTATTTGTAAATGTACTTCAACATATGTGCATACATAGTTTCCTAAAGAAAAAAGTATCTAACACTGGTCCCTAACTGAATAATACACCAAGTGAAAGACAGAAGGAAACATGCAAACTTGAAGTGAAATAAGCATGAAAGTAACGTCAAAAGTCAGATTCAAATTCTGTTTGGTAAATATGGTCATCGTAACTAATAAACTAAGAACTATTGTGGAACAACAAGATAAGAAATAATTACTTTGGCTAAAACACCAATTCAGAATAATAACAGTCTTAGACTGTCATTTTAACAGCTTTTCTATTGAGTCCTTAGAGGGATTATTTGCATTCCTCAGGTATTCTATTGTACAATTCAGATGAATAAAGACTTACAAATCATTCCTCTACCGCCAGTGTGAGACTTTGATCCAGTGAATACACCATTGTACCTTAACTATAATTGGCAAAAAACCTGACAGTGTAGAGCATCACAAGCTTAATAACAAAGGAGAATATCTCAAAGTGTTGACAGATGATCTTCATAATGCAGGAGCAGAGCTGGTACATTTTAGCAATAAATGAGCACTGAGGTCTAAAGGTCTCTGAAGTGACTGACATCAGACCTGCTACAGCCTCACTAAAAGAATAAGGTACTGCATCCCACTCTGTACAGACAATCGGGTTCTCTGCCTGAGTCTTTCACTTTTGTGACTTTCAATGTCACAGAAATTACTAAAAAGTACCAAGGAATTCCCCTAATGGTGACCAAAATAAAGAAAACAAAAAAAAAAGTAAATATTCAAACATAAATACTGATATATTTGTAAATGAAATTTTTCCCCAAAGCAAAAGTGCTTTGACTCATAATCAATAAAGTAATAGCGCAAGTTTGCTTTCCTGTTAGGGATAACCAAGTGTGCTAAACAGAACAATGTTCTCTTGGCAAATGGTAACAATTAGTGTCAAAGTCTGTTTTATTTGAGCACATAATTTTTCCATGGAAATGCTGTATGTCTGTCAAAGGACAACATTAGTACACTCATTTGGGCCCCTGTTAAGGTAAGCAAATCCTGGAGTATCTCTCCATGATTTCATGCTATACTTGAAAATGAATGAAGGGTATGGGATTTTAGACTGAGAGAAAAGACTATTAATACTTAAGAAAAACTCAATTAAAAAAAAACCCCAAACACTAGAATGTAACAAAATGAAAAGTAAAAAAAAACCCAAAACCCCAGTAGAACTGGCAGAACCAATGACCATGATTAACAGCTGAAACTACTCTAATAAACAAGAAAGTGCCCAAGATTAAAATCCTTCTTGACAAAGTAAATTGAAAACTATGGGAGAACAGTGTACCTCTGTCCTAATTATGCTTCTAAAAACACCATTATTAGTAGAGTTAAAACTAAATTCTGATTATAAAATGTAGAGCAGAAAGACAAAAGGCTTATTCCAGTACTACTCAGTAATACCAGCGAGGGATCTCTCGCAGCATCTCTTGACATCCAACAAACTTCCCACATTTGAGGTGGCTTCGCTCTTCTCTCCAGGCACCTCTGAAGAGGAGGAGTGTGCCAACAGCAAATACAGAGACTTCCTGAATTGAAATTTTACTCTATTTGCCATAAATGGACAAAATATCCTTTCTGGAAACAGATACAGACCCAAGAAATAGTAAGACAACCATTCATTCTGTGATAGAAAATCTTAGATAAAGTTGAATTAAAAACTCAATTAAAAAGAAAAATGTGTAAAAACCCGACACAAGAACAAAACCAGATCTGAACAACTTGCAAGTAAAGGCAGCACTCCAGATTCTGACCAGGGAAAACAGCCAAGAGGAATATAGATGGTCACTTCCACCTAACACTGCTACTTGTTGGCTGATGAGGAGGTAAGGAAGGACAAAAGCATGTCAGCCTATCTTCTACTAACTCAGAAAGGCTGTGAAGGGAGTACCTTCCCTTTAAAATGGTGATGGTTCTTGAGGCAGAAGAAACCAAAACCTGCAGACAACCAAAATGAAAAGGTACAAAAGTTGCAGAATGTACATTAACTACAAATCGATACTTGACAGAGTTTCACATGAGAGATCCAGCTGGGAACAGAGAAAGAGTTCAGACGGAAATCAGAAGTCGTGATGGAAGAGAGAAGCTGCAGAGAAAACTTGAGCTCAGTGGACACCTGCAAGACAAGATGATCTGAAAAACTGACCCCTGAGAAGAAAGGTGATTTGTGAAAGTATGCTTTTGTACAAGCAAGACAAAAAAAATCCCCTAATCTAACTCATGGAAGAGAAACAATTGTTTTTCTGTTCTACACCTGAACTACAAGTGGAAATCGGCAGAAACAAAACTGCATGGCAGAGCAGAAGAAAACACCAGGCAGCACCACAAGCAGGACAGAAACAAATGTACATAATGAGAGAAGATCAAACTAAGTGATCACAACATACACCAGACTGAAAAAAAGACCTAAAGATAGGAGTCAGAACAAGAGGACCTCCAATTCCAACAGGCTCTTCTTGCTGGCAGTTCTGAGCAACCCTGGATTTCTAAAGCCTTCCAAACTCCAGCTCTGTAGTGCTTTGTTCCCCACTGCTGAAAAGTTTCCCATACGTGTAGCCTAAGCCACCTTCACTTCAGTGTACATGCATTAGTTTAACTGAGCCTATACACTATGGACTGGGAACACACCGTCCCTGTTTCTTTACAGCAGCATTTTACATACTTAGAAACTGAGGTGTTTCTTTTTTATTTTCAACCTATTACTTCTAACTTTGAACCTTTTTCTGGACTCTCTCCAACTGGAGAGTTCCTAGAAGCAGGTAGTACCTAATGTACTCCTCAGACCTCTCAACAATAATGTCTTACAAGCATTAAAATAAGCTAGAGGATTAACTCACACATTTTTCAGGTGATTCTCCTGTTTATAAAACCCAGTATAGCATCTGCTTTTTTGTGACAGCACTGCAACATTATCTCATGCTCAGTTTATAATTTACTGTATGACCCTGCATGACTAGCTGTTCTTAATACTGTATTTGCATAGTTGATTATTCCTACATAAAATCCTCCTCCTCGGAAGTTCCAACCTACCTCTGTTTTGCCTAATGATTTCTTCTATGTCTTGAGATGCTCCTAAATTCTATTTCTGTTCTATACATGCCTGGACATCTCTCCTAGTTTGGGGTCATCTATGGATCACCCAGCTCATTAATGGCAATACATAACAGTATTGCACCAGCAGCCACTGGTGCAGATCTCACAGTGAGATATTATTCCATCTGGAACG